TCCTCTGATTGTTTGCCTAAAAGCTGGCAGTGCAGGTTATGGTTGAGGAGCCTGAGCTGCACTTTCTGGGCTGAAGCCACAGCCTGTGCTCCCCCACCCCACAGAGGCTGGTCTTGGCCCCAGCAAAGACCTTCTTTTGCGGTCATCTGGTAACACAACAGAGCCACCGTGTGCTCACCCTGGAGGCTGCAGCTCACGTTTCCCATCAGAGGAATAACATTCCCCATTAGGAACACACTGTGTTTTTGTGATCCTGGCCTGTTTCTTCTGCTGCTAACAAGTGGACTGGGCAAGGCGGGGGGTGGTGGTGGTGGAAGTCACGCTGCTTTCAATCCCAGGTTGTCCTCAAGTGTATGGCTGTGTGAAGCAAGGGAAGAGGATGAAGCTCTTCCCATCCTGAATGCTGATGACAGGAGCATAACGCAACTGGCAAAGGAGGGTGACAGGGCTGATGAAACAGCTAGTCCTGGAAACCATTTCCAGGCACATGAAAGACAAGAAGGTGATCTGAAGTAGTCAGCATGGATTTACAAAGGGGAAATCATATTTAAGTAACCTGATAGCCTTCTAAAATGAGGGACTAGCACGATAGTGGATATTGTTTACTTCGATTTTAATAAGCTTTTGACACTGTCTTCCAAACCATCCTAACAGACAAGCTGGAAAAATACGGGTTAGATAAGCGAACAGGGAGATGGACTGAAAACTAGCTGAATGGACAAGCCCAGAGAGGTGCTGATCAGTGGCACAAAGTCCAGTTGGACATCAGTGACCAGTGATGTAGTCCAGGAGTCAATCCTGGGGCTACCCAAAGGGCTGCAAAAAAGGACATGGAGATCCTGGCATGCAAGGAACTGAGCATCAGGGTTACAAAGATGATTAGGGGCCTGGAGCATCTCCCTTATGAGGAGAGGCTGAAGGACTTGAGTCTTTTTAGTCTGGAGAAGAGAAGGCTGAGGGGGGATCGGATCAATGCTTATAAATACTTAAAGGGAAGGTGTCAAGAGGACAGGGCTGGTCTCTTTTCATTGGTGCCCAGGGACAGGACAAGAGGAAATGGGCCCAAACTTGAATATAAGAAGTTCCACCTTAACATGAGGAGGAACTTCTTTACTTTGAGGGTGGCAAAGCACTGGAATAGGCTGCCCAGGGAGGTGGTGAAGTCTCCTTCTCTGGAGACATTCAAAACCTGCCTGGACAAGTTCCTGTGCAACCTGGTCTAGGTGGACCTGCTTTGGCAGAGGGGTTGGAATAGATGATCTCCGGAGGTCCCTTCCAACCCCATGTGATTCTGTGATTCTGTAATGTACAGTCATGATAAAGAACATCAACAGCATCCTGGGCTGCATTAGGAGGAGTGTTGCTAGCAGGCCAAGGGAGGTGATCCTTTCCCTTGATTCAGTACTGGTGAGGCCATACCTGAAGTCTAGTTCTGGGCTCTCCAGTGCAAGAAAGACATGGACATACTAGACAGAGTCCATCAAAGGGCCACAAAGATGATCAAGGGACGAGAGCACCTCTCCTTTGAGGAAAGGCTCAGGGAGCTGGGACTGTTCAGCCTGGAGAAGAAAAGGCTCACAGGGAGATCTTATCAATGTATATAGATACCTGCAGGGAGAGAACACCGAAGTGGGAGCCAGACTCTTTCCAGTGGTGCCTAGTGCCAAGACAAGAGGCAATGAGCACAAACTGACATACAGGCAGTTCCATGTGAACGCAAGAGAACAGTTTTTCGCTGTGGGAGTGTTCAAACACTGGCATAGGTTGGGTAGGGAGGTAGTCTCCATCCTGGAGATATTCAAAACACAACCGGACACTTTCCTGGGGTGGCCTGCTGTAGCTGACTTTTCTTGAGGAGACGGTTGGACCAGCTGATCAGAGGTCCTTTCACATCTTATCATCACATCCCCATGAGATGTCAAGAGAAGCTGTAACATTGCCACCTGCCTCAGCAAACCCCTTATTTCCCCAGTGTCAGAAAACACCTTACCTCAATGGCAGCAAAGAGGACATGGTCAGGCCATGTTTATTAAGGTCCCACATCACACTGCCCCCTATCCTCACCCTCCTGGATGGGCACACTCTCCAAAACAATCCTCTGGTTGAACCAAGGGCCTCCCATAGGTTTGTGGCCTCTGAATTTTCCCGGTGCATCCAGACTCTTACCCAACTCACTCCAAACACTGTCACTGTTACAGGTGGGAGAACATATGGTGGGGCTATAACTCAAAAGACCTTAGAATAACCATGTCACTTGAGCACCCAGAGACTATAGACCTTTGGCCCTAGTTATCAAAGTACAAACCTGTCTTTAACTGGCACTGGGGATCCTTGTGCTTCCCTGTGGGAAGGGAAGACCCAGTTCCCAAGGCAGGAGCTGGCCTGAGGAGCCATCAGGTGTCGCTTCGCCTACCATTGGGCTTTCCATGGGTTGTTTCAGAGATTCCCTGCTTGTGAGGGCAGGCTGATGCCAGTGCCTTTGAGTCCTTTGCCCCTTCTTAGAGTGCAGTTCACTGAGTTAAGGAGTTTAGCTAGCCATGTCCAAAGTCAACTCCTTCACTGAAGAGGGCTGTTGTGAAAAAAGCTAGAAGTGAGGGCCTGCTCCTCCTTCCCCTGGAGAGCTACTTTCAAGCTGTGCCTTTATCACTGGCTACATGGCAGCTGTGCAGCAGCTATATCTGCACCCAGTCTTGTTCCTTCAGCTCTGCCCCTAATGGGACCCACTGACTTGACCTCCAGGTTTGACCTCAGACCTTCCCTATCTCTGCAGACATGCTGGGTCTGTGGCCCCAGCAAGCAAGGGACTGTTGCTATCTCCAGAAGAGAGTCTTATCCTGACTTTCTACTGAGCATCCTGCACAAAGAGGTCCCTGCTGCCCAGGACCCTGCAATGGCCTCTGGGGTGACAGTTTGTAAAGGGAAACAGAAGGCAGTGGAGGACTTGGGGAGTGCCTGAGGGCATATAGAGCACGGAATATAGAGCTCTGGCATGGAAAGGAAAGCAGATGTAGGACACTGGAATGCACCGCAAAAAAAGATGGGGATCTCTAGGAAGCACCAGAAGGCAAACAGAGGAGTCTGAGGTGTACAGGGGAGAAATCTGAGGTGTCTGAAGGTGCACCTTCTTTTGGGGGCAGCAAAAGATAAATAGAGTAATTCTTAGGGCATGAGAGGACCAAATGGAAGCCTCTGGGTTGCACCAGAGAGCAAATAAAAGACCTCGGGGAGCATCATAAGGCACATAAAAAACATTCATTCAACTCTGTGCGCATTCAGATCCTCTCCTTTCAATTCCAGGCAGTCTCTATTCCTCCACATGCCCCACTGTGGTCCCTTCCATTCTTCTCTATGCGTGTTCAGGCTCCCTCTGTTCCCCTCTGTGGAACCTCAATTACCCCTCATTCCCTTTTGAGTGCTTGTAGATCCTCTCTTCTCCCCTATATGTGCCTCGGAACTCTGCAGTTCCCATCCATGCATGCTCAGATCTCCTCTACTCCCTTTTGTGCACCCCCCAGTCCCTTCCATCCTTTCTGAGTGCCTCACATCCAAACCACAGCCCCTCTATATGTTTTCAAATTCTCTCTATTCCCTTCTGGGTGCTTCAGTCCCTTCAGACTCATTCTGTTCACTTCCAAGCACTCTCAGATGCTCTCCATTCCTATCCAGCTGCTTTCATATCCTCTCCATTCCCCTTGTTGTACTCTCTTGGAACCCCTCTGCTGTCCTCCTTGAACAAACCGATCTCCTCCATTCCCCTCCTTGTATGCTCAAGTGTCCTCCATTTCCCTCTGTATGCAATCAGATCTCTTCTGTTTCCCTCCTCGAATACTCAGATCTCCTCTGTTCCTTTGTATGCTTAGTGCTGCTTCTCCCCTTTGTGCACGCTCACATCCCTCTGACATGTGCCATGACAAGTGCCCTCAGACTCCCACTGTTGCCCTCCATCAACACTCAGATCCCACCTGTCCCTTTTGTGGGTGCTCAGTTCCTATGGGTTCCACCATCAGATCCCTTCCAGTCCCTCTGTGCACCTTCAGTTCCCCTCCATTCTCTCTCCATGCACACAGGGTCAAGCCTTCTGCTTTCTCCTCTGTGCATGTTCAGACCCCTCCATTCTCCTTCTGTACATGCTCAGATCCCTGTTGCTGCCCTCCATCTGCCCAGTTTTGCTCCATTCCTGGGCAGACACTTGCTTTCCTCTGTAGCCATCCACCCTGCATGACCAGTCTCCCAAACCCAGAACCCCAGAGACCATGTCCATCTCAGCTGGCCTACAGCTGAGAAGCCTTTTAGGCAGTTTCTTTCAGCAAGCTTATTCAGCTGCCTTCTTGCAGATCAGGACTGTGGCCCACCAGGGTATAGACATCTCTCTTGCTCCCCCCAAATGGAGATCACCTGCGCCACAACCCTCTTCCCACCGTCATGCAGTTCAGAAAACACTAGCTGCTCCAAATACCGTTCCTCAACAGTCAGTCTCTGTGGGAGTCTTGGGACTGCTCTGACTTCCCCACCAACAGTTAGGCTGGGCTTATCTAAAGCACATTAAACAAGAACCAATTGACCTGGCAGCACTCTGCTGTAATGGTGGGAGGCGGGGACATCCCCAGTGTTTGCTCACCATAGTAAGTTGATGACTGGCATTCATGTGTTTATTTACTGAGCTGCACTCTCCAAAACTCCTAAATATGCTGTTCCCAGGGGAAATTCCATCCAAAGAGCTAAGCACTCACAGAAGAGATCATTCCAAGGACTCTTGCTGGCACAGGGGTTATTTGCAGGTCGGGAAGCTGTGCACCTAGAACCACAGGCACCTTCATCTCAGCTTGTGTTTTCTAAGGGCACAAAGGAAACCTAGCCTGATTCCCTCCTCCAGGAGAAAGGAAGCCGGGACAGGGGGTAGGGCCCACTCACCCCACCCACTGCAGAGGGCAATACAAATGCCTCTGTGAGACCTGCCACTCCACAGTTCTGTGCTCCAGAGGGCATTCCTGCCGGACACCATGGGTGAGTACCGGGCTGGGAAGTGGGAGCTCCTTGCAAGTGATGGGACGCGCACAGGTAGAGCAGCCCAGCAATAGGGGGAGGCTTCATGCACTGGTCCTTGGATGGGAGCGGAGGTACCAGTGTCCTCCGAGGACAGGCTCACCTGCCACCCTTTCCAACACCAGCAGCTTGTGCCCTGCCTTCTGGCTCACCCCAGCCAGTCCCCCACTTCATGGGCCAGGAATGAAACTTGTCTAAGTCATTTGTTGGGTGCTTTGCTCCACCCAAAACTCTCTCATGCGTGACATTTTCAGGAGCTGGTCAAGAGGAAAAGGCAAGGTTGTCTACCCCTTGGGTGAAAGAGTTGAGGCCTTTTGGCAAGCTTTCCAGCTTGTACAGACCAGTCTGATGCTGCCCAGCATGCTTGGTGCACTCCTGCATCTCACATGGTTGTGTTACCATGTGAGCACTGCTGAAGCTATGGGATTTCCCACCCCCATGGAGGGAGGGTCACATCTCATCCTTTCTCTGTCTTTTCCCTTTCTAGCAGCCCAGTGCCTTCTAGTCCTTGCTTGCCTGCTGGTCTTGGCTGCCCCAGGCCACTCCATGCATATACAAACCCTAAACATCTTCAAGAAATCTCCCTCCAACAGTCCGGCGAGTGCTCTGAAGAAAACCAGTATGTAGCATTCTGTGGGCATTGCAGTGCTCTCACCAACCGCTTTCAGTTCCTTGGTCTGGGTCAGCCCTGGCTGGTGAACATCCCCAGCCCATGTTCTGGGCTGGTGGAGACACTTGGAAGAGGGTGTGTATGATGCCTCAGATCCAAAACACACCTGGATGCCTCAGATCCAAAACACACCTTCATAGTGTTATACAGGCAGGAGGGCTGGGGAGAGGTGGCATCACCCAGGCTTTTTTTCAGATAGGGGAGCTTTGTCCAGCTCTGCCCATCTAGTAGGATGACTAACGCAGTGAGAGGCCCTGCAGCAAGTGAGCTGAGGGCATGGGGACACCACAGCTGCGAGCTCAGGGAGGGGATCCAGTGTTGTGTGCTCATGTACAGCCACCTCTGGGTAGGGAAGGGCCCTACAGCATCTCTGGCCCTGGTCCAGGATGGTGGATGTGAGGAGGCGTACCCAATACAGGCTGCAGTGCTCTGAGTGTGCATGTCTGTGTGTGCACTGTGCAGACTGGTGAGGGTGTCTGTGTGCTTGAAGGGCTCATTTTTCTCCTGTTCCCTCAGTCATAGGCAGAGGCAAGGTCCTCTTCATCTTCCTCCCCAACATGGCCCTGCTTTAGTGACATAACCCCTTTTTCAGGAGACCCAAAGAAGCCTCTAGTGTCCATATATCAGCTTCCTGGCCTGATACCAGTATAGCCCTGTGGGTCTGGGGCCTTTCACTGGGGTTGCCTCCTGTTAGGTGTCCCATATGGAAGAGGAACAGAGGGCTGAGGCCAACCCACTCTCACCTCCAGCCAAGCACATTGACCCCTCTGGGCTGGGACAGCTGGTTATCCCCAGGGTACTCTGGCCAGGTGTCCCTCTATCCTCCCACAGGGTGAAACATGGTATTGTCCTGTTGCACAAGCTTTTGTAAAATCACCCTCTTTTCTGCCCGAGGTTGGCCCAAGGACTGCAGCGAGGTCTCCGCTGGAAGCCCCAGTGGCGTCTACATCATCCAGCCCACTGGACTGCACCCTGTCATGGTGTACTGTGAAATGAATGTGACAGATGGGGGCTGGACGGTCATCCAGAGGAACCGGCAGGGCACGGAGATCACCTGGGCCGAGTCCTGGAGCACCTACAAGTACGGCTTTGGGAACGTGCACACCGAGTACTGGCTGGGCAGTGAGTACATCCACCAGATCTCCAGGCAGAAGGTCTACCAGGTCAGGTTTGTCATATGGGATGCTGCAAACAACATGAAGTTTGCAGACTACAACCTCTTCAGTGTGGAAGATGAGTCCCAGGGCTACCGGCTGAGGCTGGGAACATACTCTGGGACAGCAGAGGATGCCATGGACTCAGACAATCCCAGGAATGTGCACAACAACATGAAGTTCTCCACAAAAGATCGGGATCAGGACACTTACAGTGGGAACTGTGCCTCCAGATATAGGGGTGGGTGGTGGTACTCGGCGTGTTATTCTGTACAGCTGAATGTCAAGGGGGGCATGACGTGGGGCAGCCTGTGCAACGGGAACTGCAAAGCTTCTGCCATCCTCATCAAACCAGCTCTATACCAATAGTACTCTTCCCTCCTCCTGGCTGCACTGGGCACATGGCCAGACCAGTGCCCTGGCTGGGACCCATTTTGCTGCCTGAGAGGCTGTGGGTGAATAGGGTTGTTCCTGTATACCAAGAGCTGTTTCTTCTCCTCTTGAAAAGTAGCAAAGCTTCCTGCTTTGTCTCTGGCCTTTCACTTATGATTGTTTTTTAGGGATCATTATTAGAACAAGTCTTTCTAAAAAGCTTCTGTTTCCAAACATGTTCCTTCTGGGGAGAAAATTATGCTCAGAAACCTAAAAACCTCCTGATCCAGTAAGGTCTTATTCTCTTCATGCTTTGCAGGATAGGTGACTTCAGCAGAAAAAGATGTCATCACTAGATAACCTGATCTAAGCTTCTCTGAACCCACACAGGTCATGTACACACCATATTCCTGCTGTAATCTCTGTTCATCCTGCAGAATAAAATTGCTTTCAGAATCTGCACAGATATGTGCAAATGTCCTTCATTTGTGTGGGAGCTTCTCACAACTGCTGATAGTTTCTTGCCAGGAGCAAACCTGAGGCTCCTGGTGCAGTAAGAAAAGACTTTCCAAGGGGACATTTTTCATAAGACTCAAATGAGGAATTAAAGACAAAACTTGCACTTAAAGAAGAGACTTGAGTTTCAAGGTGGGGATCTTTCAAAAAGGGAATGTAGCACCACATGGCTAAAAGCAAGCACTGGGAGCAGAAGGGAAGAGCTCACTTCAGCCCGACCAGGCATGACCTGGGGCTAACCAGAGACAGTAGGCCAGGCCAGCATCATCCTGCCATGTTAACATTGTGAATGCTGGCCCAGGCCTTGGGAGGTAACTGGAAGAATGGACAGGGAAGAAAGGGCAACAGCACTGCAAAGCCACACAGTATTGCATGGCTGGGATACCTGGGACAGGTTTCGGAGCTGAGGCAGACTGCATTAGCTTAGGTCCATATCAGCTTGCTCCAGTGTGGTGATGTCTCTGTGCACTGAATAGCTGAACAGTGGACATGGTACCTGTGATGTGATCACCAGTGCTAAGCAGCAGGTAGTCATGTCTTGCTGGCTGCACTCTGGCTGATACAGCCCAGGATGCATTTCACCTTCAACACTGCATTGCTAACTCCTGGGCAAATGCTGTTTACCAGGAACTCCAAGACCTTTTTTGTCAAGCCGGTTAGGTTGTACTTCCAGACTGGAGTGCAAATGACTTTTTAAACCAGCAGACATATATCTCAGTCCAGAAATGCTACTTTCAAGTCAGGTCAAAGTGGGAAGTCTTTCTCAACTGGCAGCACCTTCATACATTAATGTCGCCAGGCATCACAACTGCAGGCTCACCAATGCCTCCAGGACAGCCAAGGCTGCCTGTGCAGTCTCTTCAGGAACACAGCACAGCCATAGCTCTGAAGGGCGGTCTGGGACCTCAGTCACAGGTCGTGACCTGAGAGTCCCAAGCTGTCCAGGATTCACAGCCACAAGACTTCCTCGAGCTCAGCTTTTCTTCCAAAGACAGAGGAGAGGAACCGTGGCTTCTTTCAGGCCCTAAGTTCAGACTTCCCTCCATCACGAAGGAGATCAATAGCCACATTCCCCCTCTGCAGCAGAGTATGATCGAACTGATTTACCCACATCTCTCATGCCCTCAGGGAGCCCACCACTCTTTCCACATGCCAATCCGTGGTGGCTTCTTCTCTTTCCCAACATAGAGCAACCACACAGCCATGGACAGGGGCAAACTATGGGCAAAGGTTTTGCAAGATACTGGGCTTTGCTAGCTCTGTTGGTTAATCACAGCCTTACAGCCACAGTTCAGTGCACAGTGGCTGGAAAAAAACATTGGAAGCAACAATGCATCCAGAGTCCTAAGAACCAAATCATACACAGAATTAGGTACAACAGCTGTATTCAGCTGTGTACAACAACGGTACCAAAGGGAGAAAAGCTCATGTTACATGCTGATGCTGGGGACAGTCAGCAATGGGAAAATGCTCAGGCCTTTCACTGTGGAACACTGTGGAAATATTTCAGAAAAAAAAAATCTGTACAAACTCCCTGAATGTGACACCAGCTCTGTACCACATCAGCCTGGGAGCAGAACCAGCTCCACAACTGACCTGGCCCAGCACTGTCTGAGCAAATCACCTTGAAACCAGCTGCAACCACATAAGCCCTGGGTGAGGTGAGCTCAGCATGCCACAGGGAGATCCGACTTCCATTGTGCAGCTGCGGCTCCTTGCAGAGGAGAGGACCTGCATAATACACCTTCTTTTCCCCAGGTCCACCACCCCAGGATCTGGACAGATTGATCTCCCTCCCCCTTATGTGCAGTGTTGCTGTGGCAGGTAGACACAAGGCAGCAAAGTCTGGCTCCAGGGTTTATTGCAGCTGATTTCTCCCACCATGGGTAGCAGAGCTGTGGGGCGTGAGGGGCCCAGGGAGGGAGCAGGGCCCGAGCAAAGCAGGGGTACACCGATCGCACAGGGAGGGAACTTGCACTGTCTCCCCCTCCCCAGGACAGTGCCTGCGTCCCAGTGCCAGCCAGCACCGCGGCACTGGGCGAAGCTGCCCACATGCCCAGGGCTCTGGGCGATTGCTCCTGAGCCCCAGAGCCGCTGTGCTTCAGCTGGTGGCGGTGTGGGAGCTGTGGGCAGTGCAGGACAGGCACCAGGGTTGGCACAGAGCTGTTGGCAGGCACAGGAGCGGGACACTGAGCTGGGGACGGGGATGCTTCCACAGGCTCCTAGGAGGCTGGGCACTGTGACATGGTCAGCACACGTCTGTGGGTTTCACCAGGATGAGGGACGATGTGCAGTCGCCATTATCGCAGAATCCTGGCCAAAGGATTTTTTTTTTGGCATTGAGCAGGACGTTCTGGCACTTGTCGTACCACCAGCCCCCGTAGCTGTTGGCGCAGTTCCCGCTGTACTGGTCCTGGTCCTTGTCGGTTGTGCTGAACTTCATGTTGTCGTGTATGCCACCCTTCTTGGGGTAATAGCTGGTCAGATAGTCATCCCCATCACCAGAAAAACGGCCCAGCCTCAGCGGGTACCCACTAGCCTCGCTCTCCACCCTGAAGATGTCATACTCAGCATAATGGGTGATGTTGGCTTTATTCTGCACAACAAAGCGGACCTTGTAGGTGCCCTGCTGCGTCAGCAGGTGCAGGTACTCGGTGCCCAGCCAGTGATCGCCCCGCACGTTCCCGAAGCCATACTTGTAGGTGGTCCAAGATTGCTTCCATGTGAGCTCAGTGTCATGAGAGTTTCTCTGGACAACAGTCCAGCCCTTGCCTTCGGTGTCCATGTCACACCACACCACCCGTGGGGGTGACCCTGCTGGCTGGATGACGTACACCCCACTGGGGCTAGTCTTGCGGAGATGGCTGCAGTCTGCAGGGAACCCTGTGACAGCATGAGTGGTAAACATGGAGAGAGAAGGGAGAGAGAAGGGTCATATGAGTCTGTCAGGACAACAAGGAGCTTCTATAGGGGAGTGAGGATTCAGGACAAAAAGGGGTGGTTTTATCTGTGGTCTACTCCACAGTGTAGAGTAGCTTTTCCACTGGCTCATCCACAGCACAACCAAAGGTCTCTAAGACAGTGGCCCTGGTAAGAGCCCTAGGATCTATTTCTCATGACTTCCTATTTCATTTGGAGCCTTCTAATGCATTTGGCCAAGAAAAGAGGGGGAAAAATCTTCCAGATGCAAGTGATGTCCTCCAAGTATGTCTGGCCCTCACACAAGGCCCTTGACAGGGCTCCAGCAAGGATCAGAATTGTCCAAAGTGTTCTACTGGATCAGGATATGTAGTGAAAATTTATGTTCTCTCTGATGGTCACGGTATTGCAAAGAAGGCTGAGTTCTACCTTGCTTTCATAGGGATCTCTTCCCCCAGCTTGTTGCAGTTTCTCACTTAGCAGGACTGATCTGTCATGATTTACTTGCCAAACTTACTTGACACCTAGTTTGTTTTTCTTGTTTTGTGTCTGATGAGGGACAATTTGCTGTGAATAATTCTGGTTCAGCCCATGAAATCTTGCTTTTCTTGGGCACACAGGTCTTGCAGGGAGTGTCACCCTCTCTTGCAGGGAGAAAGGGAATACTCCTAATTCAACAAGAGCTTAAAAAAACACAAAATACTGGGAGGATGTCTCCTAGAACTGAAGCATAAAAAGACACAAGCACCACAGAGCAATCCTGGCAAGGAGCTACCAAGGGGATGGGAGTGGCTTGGCAGGTGTCGGGCTGCTTACCTCACAAGCCATGGCCCAGGGGTTTGTGTGTGAGAGTTTTTATGTTGTGCATCAGCCTGGGTGCCTGCTTGGCTTCCCTAGCACTCAGTAAACCTGAGAGTCAGTGCTGAACTAGGGAGACATTTTCCTGGTCTGCCTCTTGGTGCCCTGTCAGTGTTCCCACCCACTCCATACTCACCACTCCGGGAGCCGGCAGTGGGTACTGGTGGGCCAGCACTTGCACAGAGGAGAAGCATCGCCACCACTGTAGGTAAGAGGACAAGGTCCCCACAGAGCCAACTTGTCCCAGTCCGGAGCCCTGGGGAGGAAAATGCCCATCACTGTGAGGATCCCCAGCACTACCACCCCCAGCCCCTGGGGAGCTCAGACCAGGGGAGGCAAAGCCAGGGGGCACAGGCAGGAGCAGGGGGCTCCCGGGGTGGCAGGAGCTGCAGCTTCGGTGCAGGCTCTGCCCCTGCAGGGGTGAAGCGAGGTGAGAAATGGCTTTGTCACCCTCCTGATCAGCCCCTTCCTTGCACCAGACAGCAACCTGCAGACCTGTTCTCAGAACCTACAACTCAAGAGTAGTTACAAGAGGACAACGGCACAACTAGATCTGGGGAGAGTAGTCTGCTGGGGGGAGGGAGGGGGAATTATCACAAGAAACAATTCTTTTTGGAGTAATCATGCTTAAGCCTTTTATATAAGACACTCCAGCCCAATGACAGCTAGTGGGAATTCGGATCCAAAGGACATTGCACAGATATCAGCTCCCAAGCAGACAGGAGGAAGTCTCCTGGCTCACAAAGTGACATAAGCTCAAACCCTCTGTGCTAGCCACCAGCACACTTGTACACCCTGCACTAGCTCAATTACTGGGGAGATGCCATCATGCCTGGAGAACGTGCAACCACGTGCCACACACATCGATCAGGAAAGGACCAACTTTAAATCTAGGTCTCCACATGAACCTCCCTTGACAGGACATGGGAATACAGGGCACAGGTAGCCTGGGGAAAGCATGGGCTGGTACCAAGCATGTGTGTCCTTTGGTTCTTTGGTCTTGCACCCCTTCTGCTACCAGGGTGCCTGGCAGCATGCATCACCCAGGCAAGATCATGGCTGCTGTCCTGCTAATCATCTTATGTCTTTGTATACTCACCCTCATCAGGTCTTGTCTGAGCCCAGCACCACACATGAAAGCAGAGTGCTGCTGGGAAGATAACTCACCCATCACAACAGCACAGGCTGAACAGAGAGCAGGAACCCAGTGGTGCACCCTCCCATGCCGAGCTTTCCACAGTGACTTTATAGGCACTGCACACACCCACTTATGTTCACATTTGTTGTTTGTAGAGGCATAAGGAGGCACTTGCAGATTGCAACTTGAGCGCTTTTCAGATCCCATGACACCACAACTAAACCCCCTGAGGGGAGGGAGGCATGCCTCTCCAGCCAGAGAAGTACAAAATAATCCCCTTCATGATGAGGGATTTCAATTATTGACTCTCCCAGCTACACAAACACCACATATGAATTGGTCACTTGGATCAAATTCTGGAGAGCAATGACCAAACTGAAGTGGAGAGACCTAGCTTTTTAAGGATATACACAGAGAAACTAGCAAAGGAAGAAAGATTAGGTCTCCTATTTGCCTTTCCAAGGTGACCTTGGAAAGATGAGGACAGGTCCTCAAGAGATGTGTCTGCATGCTGCCTCTCTGCTGGCAAGTTTCAAGATCAATGAGTTAAGTCATCGGGCTGGACCAGTGATCAGCAGCCAGAAATCACTGTGTCCCCTGGCACTCCAATCTGGATGCTTAGAGTAGAGGGCAAGGGCTCCAGGTAACAAACAGAGCCCTGTGGGTCCCTTTGCCACTCTACTTTCCAATCCCTGCCTATGGCCTGGTGAGACCCTGCAGATCCCTCCCCACCCCCAGCTCCACCAGCCCCTTCCTTGCACCAGACAGAGGTAATTTCCTCTACAGGAGCAAAATGCCCTCAGGACAGACTGTTTGGGGGGGCTGTTCTTCATGCCAGAAGGTGCAGACAGGTCCACTTTGACAAGCCAATTTTAGGAGGATAAAGATGCGGTCCTTCTACTTTCTTCTCCTTTGTTTTTTCAGACTCACCAGATGTCTTCTTCATGGCACAGCTTTAAACCTGGTGTTTGCAACAAGCCAGTGTCAAGCTGAGGCTCCCACCAAGCTTTCTATATTGCAGGAGTTCACATCAAGCAGTGCAATTTGCAGGTCTGGATGCAAGAGGTAAGCGATCCCTGGATCAACTTCCATCCAAACCATTAGATCTCACCCTTGCTTGCTTGGTTAGTGGTTGGGAGTCCACATCCACAGCCTCTACAGTTTGGGAGAATCATAAAATCCCCGCTCACAAGTCTGTGGAGGGAGACGGACCCAAGCTGTCCTGGGAAGACGGACCCCAGGCAGAGGGGCCATGTTCCCTTTCTGCAGGGGCAGGGGAAATGGGTGACTTAGGGCCTCCCATGGGCTGTTCCCAGAGCTTATGCCAGTGCTGAGCAATGCAATGCCTCGGGGTATACTGGGGTGCCTGTGCCAGGGCTGGCAGGCAGGCTGCTGCTGCTGAGCCATCATTGGGATCACTGCTGGCAACAGGGCTGACAGATACAGCAGGAACATGGGCTCCACAGGTAATGAAGAGGAAGTTCTCCCCTGCCCCCCTGCTTACAGCAGGGTCCACTGGGCTGCTCCAAATGGATGCAAATGGTATTTCCTTCAAAGAAATGGTGTGTCAACTGGACAGCTTATCTACAGTCCAGCAGAGACCCCGGGTTTGACTTTAGCACAAATATTTCAGTGGATGGTGTCTTCAAAGCTATCAAACAAATGTTTTCCAAGTCATGCTGACGTGGGACCTTTTTCTAAGAAGACAGGTGCAAGAGGATCTCTGAACAGATACAGGTTGAAAGCAGAGCTGAGGACAACAACCAGTGCTTGCACTCCAGAGAGGGAGAGCAGGGACCACCATGCAGAACTCAAGAGAGGAGAATGAAGGCATGAGCCAGCTCTCTCAGCGAAGGCAGGCTGCTCTCCACAGGCAGAAGCCAAGGGTGAACCCTGAGGAGGCAATGCCCTTGCTGGCAAGGCTCCATCCTGACAGATCGGAGCCCAGCAGGCAGAGCTAAATGCTGGCAACAGCTCCAGGCAAGGCAAGCAGTCAGTTGGATCTAAGATCCTAGACAAAAGGACACCGTGCAAAAGGCAGGGCTGGAGATAAGCTACAATGTGGATCTGAGCGATACACCCAGGAAGTAAGTTACCTATCTACAGTGTAGGTCTAAAATCTATCCAGAAAACAAGGACAGATAGGGGACCGGAGACCAGCATTCATACAGTGTGGCTCAGGTTAGGACTGAAGGCCCAGGGCTAAGCTGAAACAGGTCTCATGAGCCCAGGTGAAGGTCCCAGGTGGGACTGGTCACCAGCCATTAAGGCCTACTGGTGCACTCAGGGCCATGAAAGTAGCAGTTAATCCTGAGAGAGCAAATCACACAGGCCTGGCAGGCTGCACAGGTGTCTCATGCTCCATAGGTCCTCAGTCATTTGCTATAGCTCTTTGGACTCACAAAATAGCTTCTCAAGGCACATTCTGCTGCAGCAAGACTGGCACCACGGCTGTGCTCCTGCAGAAATACAGAGGCATAAGGGCTGGGCAGGGGGATCTTCAGAGAACCAGGTGAACACAGAGTACCCAAGACCACGAGGACCTCTGAATGTCTCTGGTCTGATCTTGAGGCCAAACCAGGGACAACTTAGAATGGGTTGCTTAGGGTCATGTCTGGGTCAGCTGTGAATATGTCAAGAAATGGAGGCCTCACAACTTCTCTTTTTTTTTTTTTTTTTATTTCCGTTTGGAACATCCTCAGGCTGAATTTTTTTGTCTAATTCTAATTTCCCTCCCTTCCTTTATATCCATTGCCTCTCATCCTGTCCCTGTGCACCTCCAAGGACAGACAATCACAGGGTGATGGAATAATTTAGGTTGGGAGAGACCTCTGGAGGTCATCTAGTCCAACCCTGTTCAAAGCAGATCTAAAAAAATTAAGTCTTTGTCCAGTCAAGTCTTGAACACCTCTAAGGACAGAAATTCCACAGTCTCTCTCTGGGCACCTGTTCCAATATTTGACCAACCACATCTTATAAAATGTACCTATTTCTAACTGGAATTTCCATGTTCCAACTTATATCCATTGCTTCTCATCCCACCACGATGCACCAGTCCAGCTGTAAGTTCTTTGTATCCTCCCATGAGGTAGGTGTAGTCAGCAATAAGATCTCCCCGTTGCCTGCTCTTCTCCAGGTGGAGCAACCCTGTTCTCTCAGATTCTCCCACCACATCCTGAGCTCCAGGCCCTCAACCAGTCTGGTGGCCTTCACTGGACTTTCTCCAGTCTGTCAATACGTTTAGGGGTCCAAAATGAGACACTGCTCTGAGGAGCCCGACTCTGTCTGCTCTCCACCCTCACACCAGTTAGCTGCAGGCACCAGCAAGATCCCACCTCAGCTTTCCCTTTTCCAATATGAACAAGCCCATCTTTCTCAGATTGTCCACATATGTCATGTGCTCCTGCCTCGACTGTCTTTAGTGGGTTTAGCTGGACTCCTGGAGTTTTAGTCACTGTTGTTAATAGGGGAGCACCACACAGGACACAGCACTTCAGCTGTCATCTCACAGGTGTAAGTGAATAATCCCTTCCCTCACCCTCCTGGTTGCATTTTTCCAGATGCAACCCAGGATGCAGCAATAAACAGATCTGTGCCACAGCTGTGGTTCTTTCAAAGTCAAACGTATACTGAACAGGAGCTGAGACCCAGGACACAGTTGGGGTTTCAGAGAAATCCTCTCTACGGCCTTGCCCCTGCCTGCTTTGCACATCCTAACCCAAACACTGGCCACAGCCTCTTGGAAAAGCTGCCCGAGGACTGGAAGCTGTTGGCGAGGCTCTTGCTGAGGGTTGCTGCCTGACTTTGCTTGCACCTGCTGTTGAGCAGAAGCAGCAGCACAGCAGGGCATGCACAGGAGCCTCCATGACCAGGCAGCAACGCTGCAAGCAAACAGCTTGTGATAAAAGCCCTACCCGCTCCTCCACAGGATCTGGCCATCTTATGCTGTCCAGCACAAGTTGGATCCTGGGATAAAAGGGTCCTCATAACGCAGAATACTGAGGATATCAATCCCTAGGAAAAGGATGGTTGGGCATTTTCTCTAAGAAATTCATGGTATAAGTGCTCCTAGTAGCAGAGAGGAGCTTGAAGTGAGACCATTTTACATCAGTGTCACATCACAATTCTCAAAGCTCCCTTGTGACTGCTGAAAGGGCCACAGTGCCAGGGGAGACCACAAAGTTTATTGCGCAAGAGGCAGTGTGATGGTGGCAGGCCAGGCACGTCAGGAGGCACCTGGAGTGGCACTTTCTGAAGTTTAGTGCACAATTTTCCAGGAACACTAGAGTACCTCTTCTCTGAAGGGTCTAATGGGGTCCCCATTGGCTCTTGGACCCAATGCCTGCTCTGGAGAGAGCGATTTACGTCTGATATTTGATTTCCATCCAGGAGGGGGAATGTCATCTGGGTATTTTCTTGTGAGTTGAAATGTGCAGAGGTACCCAGAAGATTCCGTTCCCTGGGAAAACCCTGCCAGGTCAGGGGGGCAGCCAGGTGCTGTATATTGCAGTTGTTTTAAGGCATTCGATTATTGGTACCTAATTATTTGCTTTGGCTCTGAAGAAAGCTCTTCACCTTTGCAAGACATAGCCTTCATTGTCTGAGGACATATCACTTAATGATGAAGAGCAAATAAGCCATAAACCACCAGTCCTCTTGCCAACTAGGGGACAAGTGTTGTGGTTTGGGTCTCGTGCCTCCACACCCTCGCCTGCTGAGCCCTATAACTTTCAGTCTGGGCACCCCTTCAGTCAGGCCAAACCCTCTCGGCTTCCCGCTCGGCAGGTCCCGGCAGAGACAACATGGGTGAGGATGGGATGGGATGGGATGGGATGGGATGGGATGGGATGGGATGGGATGGGATGGGATGGGATAGACAGGGATGGGATGGGATAGACAGGGATGGGATGGGATAGACAGGGATGGAAGGGGACGGCACCACTGCTCATGGCTGCGAGTCACAGGGCATCCTGGCACTTTATCTTCTGCAGGGGTCCCTTCTGCTCACACACCCCAGCCATCCTAGCGCTATGTCCATTACACTGTCTGGGCTCACTGTGCCCTGGGCTGGGAACTGGAGCAGGAGTCTGCATGTTTTGCTATTTTCAGGCTGTATCAGTGTAGCCCTGGAGTATCAGATAGCCCATTTTACAAGCCTCATATTTACCAAACATTCCTTGTAATTTTCAGTTCTCCAAGGAAAGTATCAAATACAGTAGAATAGAAAATGGATTTTTTAAACATTTTGGATTAAGGAACGATATTGAACAGGTATCAAGATCTGGAGGTTACATGCTGAAAAGCACAGTGCTGCCCCCAGAAGAACACCCAGGAGAGGCTGATCCTCTCCCCCACATCTCCTTCCTACCCAGACCTTTCATGATCATTCAAGAAAGGTCTGGGTCAGCCCTGGAGAGAGCATTGCTTCTCCGGTGGCCTAAAGAAAACATGTCTTTAAACTTGCCTCTAAACACCAATGTATCAAGACACAAATGATTGGGTCAGCTCTGAGCATTCCCAGAAAGGCGTGCTTGTCTCTAGGATGGCTGCAATTGCACAGTGGTTCCAAGCCAGCATCATGGATCGTTTTCCTTCTCAGTCATTTCAGGGAATGGTGCTAAACCCAAGTATCCTGCGGCAGTACAATAGGTTTGGCTCCTTTTGGAACTTTGTGGAGGGATCATATTGGCAATCCACTAGGGTGAGCTACATGTCTCATCAGGAACAGGTTTCCCCATGGGCAGGTGTCTCCACAATGCCCCACTCTCTAGGAATCATGATAAACTTTCTATTATTTTATTTAGATTTAACATTGCAAAAAGTGTGCTGGTTTCTCTAGCTGCTCAGAACAAGAACAAACCAGAGCAGCTGGTCCCATATGGAAGCCATATAACCATATAAAGGACGTCATTTGCACCAGCTGGGCAGTATTTCCTAAAAGTTTGTGTTGCCCCTCTCAGTCATGCTGCTTTCATGCAGAGCAGAGCTCTGCATGGAGTTTGTTCCCACCTAGACATATGGGTTCTTACTCCCCACAAACCTGGACTGGAGGCGGGTGTAGTCCCAGTTTACACCATATGAGTGTGTCACAGGAGCATGATGGCAGCTGGGAGGAAAGGGGATTCCTTCTTCCATGCTCACCCTGCTTGTTATCTCCAGCCCTGAGACCTGTTTTTTTACCAGGGTTTCTGATTATAGCCACTTTGGGTTTGGACCAGGTTTTCACACTTCTTTCGTCTCAAAAACCACCAACAGCAGGTGCCACCGCTAATAACTCCTGCCAGTGAGTATATGATGGCTCGTCTACATGAGTGAATTGGGGCTTATGGCTCCGAGAGGGAGCTCTATACCTAAAGAATTTTATTTTCCTATTTTACTCTGCAAGTAAAGGAGTCAAGTGGGAGTCATGACTCTCTAATGCAAGAGTTATGATCTCTTTCTTCTTTTTCCAATCTCTTCCCATTTCAGTTACCCAGCACCTTTGTCTCCTGCTTTTCACCTGCCTGCTGGCCCTGGCAGCATCTCTTCCTGCCTTTGACATAAAAAACTTGCATCTCCTCAATGGCACGCTGGATGAAATTATGAATGTTCCCCCAGAGTCCTCCCAGCTCGGTAAGTACACCACTACAACTGGGAGTGGCAAACAAGGTCACATTCAGTCAGATCCTACACAGACCTCCACACCAGCCTAACCCCACTCCTGCAGCATGGAGGAAGGACTAAATACTGCTCTATCTGTGGGCAATGCCAATGCAGTGTAGGCTGTCTTACTGGAACAAGAATCCTGTCAGAGTCATCCTCTGCTTACTGCTTGTCTCTTCTTCTGTCTGGCATGAAGTTCTTCTGCCCATAAGTGAGTCCATAAGTCCAAAGCCCAGAGTTCATAGGATTCCAGGGGAAGGGACAGGTTTGGTCTCATTGCCAGCAAGACTGAGCCAAGGGTGTTGTGGGCCATGGGCTCTTCCTTGAAGAAGAGAAGCAGTGTTAAAGGTGTTAAGGCAAACAATCACAGTGTGTTTTGAGGACATGGGGAACAGTAGCCACCTCTGGAAAGCACAGTCAGCAGAGAACTGAATTCAAGAGAAAACTGAATACAAAGAGGAACTAGGTAAAGTTACTACAAGGAATCTAAACTAGTGTCACTGACACAGAGCAGTCACCCAGCTGATGGCACAGAGTAATCTACAAATACCAGGGTATATTGGAGCCATGAGGAAGCCTCTGACAAATGCTCCTGGAATAAACTGGGGGCTGGGGGTGGGACATAACATGACATGACATGACATGACAGAAAGAGCTGGTTCCCTTCAAAGGTAGGAGGAAGAATTCTTGGCAGAAAAAGACAAGGTTCAAGTGTTTGATGCTGGTTTCACATCAGCCTTCACTTGCAAAGGTCAGATGTCAGGAAACTGCCAACACAGGGAGAACCCATGAGTAAGACAAGAGCTTGGACTTCATGAAGAACTGCAAGTCTGAGTAGAGAAAGGACATGTGCTCTGGGCTTCACACTCATCTCTCACCCAGACCACTGGTAGGGTGCTCTGAAAACATGAGTAGCATGAATGTAAGATGGATAAGCAGGGAGGCATGCCAGAGAAGACAGGTTAACATTTGAAAGTCTTGACTTGCAGAAAAGTACTTCCAAGTGGATTGGGAGTGAAGGCAGAAGGGAGCAGGGTCAGACTGTGGCTTACAGAACAAACACAAGTGAACAGCTTCATGTGGCTGTAGTAAAAGTAAATACCGCAATAGGAAAGTCCTCCAGACCACATTACATGAGTGTTCCCACTCCATACAGGCTCAGGCCATCCATGTTCACTGGTGGGCTTCGAGACACATTTGGAGAAATTCAAAAGGAAAGTGGTCAAAAGTCACACAAGCAGACTGTGCCAGGGAAGGTTGAAGAACTGGTTTAGCCCCAAAATCAGAAAACCACAGAGGAGGAAATGACAACAATATTACAGTCTGTCTGCAGGAAAAGTATACTCTGATATACTTTACTATAGTAAGTACTATTTACTTTACTAAAGTATAGTCTTACTATAGTAAGAGAAGGAATGGACTTATACACAGTGAGAGAGGCTTAAGTTAAACACTTTATAAGGGCAAGGATAGGAAAGCACCAGCTGAGAGTGAAAGCAGAGAGCAGATATTTGAGGATGTCAGAGACCAGCAGCTGCAGCGTTAGGCGTCTCTTTCAGAGAGGGGACGGGAATGTTTTTTGTAATTCCATAAGCTTGTCATTCATTCCTCTGTTTTATAGCCATAAGTGGATACACACAAGATGTCCTTGTAAAAGAATTACCTGTCTTCCAGCAACACTCTTCATATTCCCTTCTGAGCCACCTGAACAGAGCCCCTCTCCCAGTTCTTGATACCTGCACCAGTTTTCCTGTGTCTGCTCTGATGTTTCTTCCCCTTCTAATCCCTCTTCTTTCTGAGTCCCTTTCTGACTATTAACACTTTAACAACCATATTTCCAGTGTTGCCACCAACATTCAGGGTCTTTTTCTCACAGAGTGCTTCTCACCAAGGAAGCATCTGCCCCATTCTAATACCATGTGAATTTCCTCAAACTATCACTTGGCTGATATCCGAAATGGCAAAATCTCTCTGGAATTAGAAGCAACAACAGAAAAATGGGACTATCATCTGCAGATCATGCTCTCACAGCAAACATTTGACATGTCTACTCTCAACACTTGCTCTTGTGTCCTCTGTTCTTGTTAATTCAGATAATGGTGGTGAACATGTTCGACAGGTCAGAGATATCGCCCCCCGCCCACCGGCAGGCCACGGTAAGTCTCTTCTCAAGGAGTACATCTTCCCATAAAGTTTTACCATTGCCAGGAGCCCAGAAGCTCATGAGGAGCTCTCAGCCACCTTAGCCCATGTCCTACATGTTCACTGTCTCCTCCCAGGATAAATGTGGATTTTCTGATAGGCTATAGAGATGCCACAGCTCATAACCTTGGAAGGACTCTATTACCAGCCACGGTAATAGGACTCACTAGTTGATGAGGTCATTTCAGCATGGGGAATTTTCCACCTAAAGATCCAAACTGGAAAGTGGTGATTCATTACTGGTCTTTGGGAAGTGGTGATTGATTATTTTCCTATTTTCACTATACAGTTGATGAGAAGATTGGGTAAGACAGGAGCTGACTGTGTTACTGCTCTGACTGAGTCAACATTAGCCCATAGGACCACAAGATATGGCTTTACTGGATAGGAATAGCCAGGAGCAGAAGTACTGGAAGCGGAGCAAGGCCTTTCCCAGAAGCATGTAGGTGCATTCAGCTGTTTGCTGTATAAGGGAGCATAGAAAGACCATAATCAAATAAAACAAGTCAGGCAATTTCTAAAGAGCTACTCAGGTAAACCCCAAGAAAACCAACGGATTTGCCCTATTGAGATCACAAGGGCTGACAGATGTCTTGATCACACTCTCTCCAGGGTTTCTGAGATTACTATAAAGCTCTAAAGACTCCAGGCTCTATCAGCAAATGGCTTTATAATTCAGGTTTGCATTTTTCTGTGTGGTAACACATCACCTGCATGCTACAGGCAAATCATCACAGCACTGCAAGACAGAATCCAACCTGGACTAGGGTACATTGTGTGCTGGGTGAAGGCAGTGTCTGGCTTGGTCTCACCAGGCCAAGACATTTTGACAGTTGTGTCCCATCAGTTTGAATCCTGCCTTAGGAAGATATGAAGTCCAACTCTTACTCTGATCATTTCAATACTTTGATTTACTCCTGTGAGAACATGGCAGGAACACAGCCCAAGAACGTGTGTGCAATAAGACATAGGCACAAAAGAATTATCAGGTACTTCCAGTGTCTCACTGTGTAAGATTTAATAACCATGTCTGTTTCTTGCCCCAGGCTGGCCCAAGGACTGCAGTGAGATCCCTGCTAGCAGCCGCAGCGGTGTCTACATTATTCAGCCAAAAGGGCTCCACCACCTTGTGGTGTACTGTGAAATGAATGTGACAGGCGGGGGCTGGACAGTCATCCAGAGGAACCAGAAAGACACACCAGTCACCTGGGCTGAATCCTGGAGCACCTATAAGTACGGCTTTGGGAATGTGCGTAGCGAGTACTGGCTGGGCACCGAGTACATCCATCAGATTGCCAAGCAGAAGGTCTACAAAGTCAGGTTTGTCATCCAGGACTCCACAGACAACACCAATTTCGCAGACTACAACCTTTTCAGCGTGGAAGATGAGTCCCACGGCTACCGGCTGAGGCTGGGCTCTTACACAGGGACAGCAGGGGATGCCATGACCTCAGACAATCCCAAGACCATGCATGACAACATGAAGTTCTCCACAAAGGATCACGATCAGGACACTTACAGTAAGAACTGTGCCTACAGCTATGAGGGTGGGTGGTGGTACTCAGCATGTTATTCTGTACGGCTGAATTTCAAGGGTGGCATGACATGGGGCAGCCTGTGCAAAGGGAACTGCAAATCCTCCCTTATCCTCATCAAACCAGCTCCATATTGTTAGTGCTTCTTCCCCCTCCTGTCCACACTGGACGCTCTGCAATGGCTCTGCATGACCTTGAGCCTTTCTGGAGCAGAGAGGGGAGCCCAAGGGTAGTAGGGTTTTAGTCATATGTCACTTTCCCTTTCCCCTCTCTGACTGCAGCTCCCTCTCTGCTCAGCTCTTTTCCCCTGTGCTTGCCAATGATTCCTTGTTATTATGCTCATAATCAAGAATAAAAAAATCACTTGTGAAATTTGTGGATTGCATATGTATACCTTCTCTGCGGGAGGAAAACACCTAGCCCTTGAATGGCTTTTCATCAGAGTTTCTTAGCTGCCTCCAGAACTCCTAGCAAGCAAAAAAGCTACATGCCACAAATTTCCACGTACTCTGCACTTCTCTGTAGCATCTGGTAAAGCATCCCAATAAATTTGCTTAAGCTCATTCTCCATTAATGAACGTCTGTTCTGTATTTCTGATGTGCTCCCATTGAGACCCAAGAAATCCCATGTCAGGTGCTAGGACTGGGGTCTTGGGGCTAGTCACACTGAGATGTGGGATCTGCACAGGAGGGGTCAGAAGGGACCTGTCACATGGGAGAACTCTTCCTAAATCATCACCATGTTCACAGTCCAAGAGCAAAAGCTGTGGCAACGTGCTGGTGCCAAGGTCCTGCTCCTCCTGGGAGGCTGCATGTGTCAGGATTTGTCGCTACCTGTCGGTCTGCACAGTCATGCTTTTATCCTGCAGAAATGCGGTGTGAAACTTGTCAGTAGATCTGTCTGCTGTGACTATGAAGCATTAAACTTAAATGGAAGAGAAGTAGGTTAGCTGTTAGGAAACACTTGAATTAGGAGGCACTCCAGTGAGGGAAGAGCTCATTACAGGAATGAGCTCATTGTACCCACGTTTCTGAGACCAATTTAGATGAACCCTTGCTAAGAAAGGTGCAGACAGAGCTGATGCTGTGAGGCTGCAAGACAAGGCTCCTTCAGGTTCTCCATCCCACACTGCTGTGGCACTGCCAAGACAGGTTGTTCGAGTAGCATGTTCACCTCCACAAATAATTTTCGGCTTTGTCTTGGGGCAGCACAGCAATAGCAGTAAGTTTCACTTCCAGGACTGACAGCTAAGGGAAAACCCAGCCCTTAGCTGTGGCTGCAGAGCCCAGTGCCCTTCGGGAGCCATCCAGAAAGGTTTGAGAAATTAGAAAATACTGAAAGAAGTGAGCAATCAAAAATCTCCAAACCCAAAATTAGCCATGCTGCTCCGGGGAACTGCCCTCAGCACAAGAGGGGCCACCTGCACCTGGTGCACCTGGTTCCAACCCCATATCATTCTGTGATTCTGTGATCAGGGCACAGATACGATGAGAGCTTCCCAGCTTCCATCACAGAGATGTCCTGAAGCAGAGCTTATAGTTCTCAGGCAAGTATCTTTTTCTTCTGACTGTCCGAATTTAGCAAACATTTAGTCAGCACAACACACTGCAGCCAGCCGTTCCCCGGCACAAGTGGGGCAGCGCTCCCACCTCTCCCTTCCCCAAGGGACGAAGAGGACCTGCCCGGAGCCGGTACTCTCGGGGTGCCCCATTGCTCTCTGTCCGCTCTCCGGAGCCCATGGGTACAGCGTTGCCAGGATTCCCGCAGGGTGCCCAAGTGCTCTGAAGTACAGCATGAGGCCAGTGCAGCAACAAGCGGGATGCCCACAGCGCGGTACAGCGCGGGCTGTAGTGCAGGATACACGCGAGGAGGTGCGGGGAGCGGAGCCGGAGGTGCGGGGAACGGAGCCGGAGGTGCGGGGAACGGAGCCGGAGGCGCGGTGCAGAAGCGGAGCGCCCTTCGCTCAGCTGCGGCTCCTTTAAGCCCGGCGAGGGCGGCGGGCGCGGGGCGGCGCGCGGCGGGGGCGGGCGCGGCGGGG